TCTCTTTAGTTAGTAGCGCGTTTTCTTTTCTAGATATCTCTTTCGTAGAATAACTCTCTTTTAACCTTTCTTATTAACTCTAGTACTCTTGTTTCTACTTTCTCTAACTCTATCTTTAATACTTTTATTCTTTCTCTTCTTTAGTCCTCTCTACCTTAACTGTATTCTTTTTTACTTCTGTTCTACAACCTCTAAGCGCTTAGACGAGTACACATTTCTTTCTTTTCTTTTCTCTTACTCTTCTTGTTATTTTTTAGCGCTTAGCTAAGTAACCCTTCTTTTTTTCTCTTCTACTCTGCATTACCTAAGCGCTTAGCCGGGTATATCTTCTTTTTTTCTCTTCTACTCTGCGTTATCTAAGTGCTTAGCTGGGTATGTACTCTTTCTTCTCTTCTCTTTCTCTCTTCTTGTAATTCCTAAGCGGTTAGCCGGGTAGATGTACATTCTTCTTGTTCTCTTGTAATCCACTACGTTACACGCTATTCTACTTTTCTATAGATATGCTTACCCTCCCTCTACTATGCTAAGTACAAGTCGAATCCCCACTACCATCGCGTTCGTAAACACCTGCCCCCATACCTCCTCTCTATGCCTCTTCCCTAGCCACGCTGCATATGCATCGTCTCCTATCTCTCCAAACCCTGCCTCTCCTATCGTCTGAATCCCAAGCCGTGTGAGCCGCGCTGCGTATGCCAGCGGTATCACTACATTCGGCCATTGACACCGATTCTCCATGCCCTCTCCCGTTGCACAGTACTTCTGACTTACCCAGCATCGCCGACAGTTATTCTTCACCGTCCGATCCACAATCTTCTTCCGAAACGTATCCGCGTCTGCACCAGACGCCCTCTCCCACGCTGTGCACCCTAGCACCCAGTGCTCCTTCCACTGCTCCTCTTCCTTAGTTACATACTGCTGCCCAACTACCCAGCATATCGCACACCCACCCCGCAACTCCGTAAACGTCTCCTCTACTACCGCCCATTCCCGTGCCCAATTCTCGTGCTCCTCTAACCATACCTCCTCCCCCTCCCCACACCGGTCACAACACACCCCATCCATCTCTCTACACCCTATCCCTTGCCCGTCCAAGTACGAGCTCATCAGCGCCCGCCGACACCCATTCCCAAGCAAAAACGCCCCCATTGCCTGCACGTCAATATCGCCGCTCTCCTGCTCGATTCTCTTCTCTACCTCCCCCTGTTCGATCATCACCACAACGTCAAACGTCTCTCCGCCTCGCCCTCCACGCCCGCTTGCCTGAGCAAAATCCGTCATGCTCCACGGCATCCCTACATGCAAGATGTACACAATCCCCGCGTAGTCTACTCCTGTCCCAAGCGCAGACGTAGCTACAAGTAGCCCCCCCTGCTCTACCCACTCTTGCAGCCGCTCGCCTCGCTCCTCTACGTCGGCGTGATAGTACGCACAGCCAACCTCCTCCGCGATCCACTCACACTGCGCCTTGCTCAGACAGTACACTACCCCCTTCTGCCTTGTCCGCCCCAGCTTTACAGCCCATCGCTTGCATACTACCAACGC